GATTGATTAAGCGTTTTCACAGAAATTCTTGAAAATTGAACAATTCTATAAAAAATCATGAAAAATTACGGAAAATTAAAAAAAACGGTATATGTTGACGACAAATATGAGATTTGATCGTAAAAGTTTTTTAAAATTTTTAAAAAAGTAAAATTTCATAATATCACAAAATGGCAAAAATTAATAGTGACCACCCATTTTGAGTGAAATTTAGATTTTTTAACGTTCCGGGAAAAAAAAATTAAAATATTAAAAATTTTCATAACCTTATAAAATGGCTTAAAATAAATGTGGTCACCCATTATGAGGGAAATTTTTATTTTTTTTGGGTGAAGACAAAAATTAAAAAAATATAAAATTTCAAAACTGCATAGAATTGCCTAGAAAACATGTGGCCATCAACTTGCAGTGAAATTTAAATTTTTTTAGGTGGCCAAAAAAAATTAGAATTTAAAAATTTTCAAAACTTCACGGAATGGCTTATAATACTTGTGGCCACCCACTTTTAGTTATATTTAATTTTTTTAACATGCCCTAAAAATTATTAAAATAAAAAAGGACAAAAATTTTGGAAAATTTACCTAATAGCTTATACTACCTGTGGCCACCCAATTTTAGTATGGAAATTTTTTTTTATTTCACGGGAAAAATTTTATATTAAAAAAAATAATTTAAAAATTCGAAATTTTTTTAAATTTCACAACTTTATAGAATGTCTTAGAATATCGGTGGCCACCAACTTTTAGTGAAATTTTTTTTTTAGGTCCCAAAAAAAATTTAACAATAATAACAATTTTTCTCTTACAAAACTTTACAGAATGACTTAGAATACCTGTGGCCACCCACTTTCAGTGAAATTTAAATTTTTGTACGTGGTCAAAAAAAATTTAATCAAAATGAATGCGATTCATATAGTGATGTTTGATACCTGTGGCCACCCATATCGTGCTCATATATTGATGTTTCATATCAAAATGAATGGGATTCATAGTATATTTGTTTGTAGGAAATTGCACGTCACAAGCACTCGACATTGGCTCATTTCAAGGAAACATTTTCTCAGTCTTTCCATCAAAATGGTAAGCTTCGTCATGTACATCATTATGTGTCCGTAATACGTGTCAATAGTTCTTTACATATTCGCATAACCTTCCTACTTGTCAGTATAAACGTGGAGGTCATTCGTATAGAAGACAAGTCTCTTCCTCGTCCTCGTCCCCGGCCCTTTCCTCTTCCCCTGTTCCGTCATCTAACCCTCAACCACAATATGGTCCGTCACAATATGGACACGTTGGCCCTTCCTCCAACACTCAACAACATGTTACGGGACTTGGCCACATGCGAACTAAATCTCCTCCAGTTCAATCTCCTTTAGCTCCCTCTCCTTCCGTTCCACCCCATTATTCGGCGGAACAATCGAATATTGACGGAAACACAGGTCAAGAAGATAACCGATTCTTCATATGCCCATTTGGAGATTCGTAAGTACTTCATTTTTATTTTAGTATATGTAATATTTATGGCTTTAGATATTGATGTCAACTGAATTGTCAATGTTGCACAATATCCGTATGATTGCAGATTCACGGATGCTCCGTCTGTTGTGAGGGAATTGAACAAAATAGTAAGAAACTTTTGGATGGGAGAATATATTACTTACAGAAGTATTCCACTAGAAGTGAAAGAAATGTGATGGAATGAGTTCAAGGTAAGTTTTACATATTTTATTTTCTCACTAATTAAGTTTGGTGTAGTATATTGATGGTCAAGAATGATGTAAAGGGACCAGAACAACTCTGTAGTTTTCGATACCTAAAGGACCAGATATTTTCCCCGACATGAACTTTACAAAATCTGTCTATATTTGTCTGGTGCATGGTTATGGATATGTGATCATCATAATAACTTTCAATTTGTGTTTTTATTCATTTCAGCGGAAGTTCAAGTGGGAGGAAGCGGAAGACAATGAAGTGAGAAGAATTTTCGATAAGAAAAATGGTGATTTTATGTGAAATGTCATGAATAGAGCGAAGATCAAGCAAGTGAAGCCGTCTTTCTTTACAGCTGACAATTGGGCGGCAATTAACAGATTTTGGGCATCTGAACAGAGTCGGCAACTCTGTAAGCAGAATAAGAAGAATCGAACTTCTAGTTCTAGTGATGGGTCAGCCACATATGCTGGGGGCTCTATCAACATTGTGGAGCATCGCAAACGACTGGTAAGTTTGTTAAATGAGTTATAAGTTAATTTAATTCAATTACTCATGTTTACATTTTGTAGGCACAAGAGTTGGGGACGGAACCGACATTTGCAGCTACATTTGAACGCACATTTCAAAAGAAAGATAAGACATGGACTGGCGATCGAGCAAAAGCTGTTAAGGTACGTAAGGTTATACTTTGGCTTATATGTAAACTATAATGAAAACCGTGAATGCTTTCAATATTTATGGTAGATATATATATATAGTGATTTTATTTTCATCTACATTGTTAATGTAGGAAAAATATGATCAACTTTTAATGAGCAGTGCTAGTGGTAGTGATGATTGTCCTGAGTCCGGGCCATCAGTTGATAATATGGCATTATGGATGGAGGCAACGGGTGGGGTGAAAAAAGGAAAAATATTTGGGATGGGATCGTTGTCAAGGATGTACATGCCGAATAATCCTGGAAGTTCATCATCCACTGCGACTGGTCGAAGGAAGTCACGACAAGACGAGCAATTGACCCAAGAAGTGCATCGTCTGAATAATTTACTTATTCAGAAGGACGAACAAATAAATAACTTGGAACAACAAATGAGACTCGTTATGCGACACCTTAACCTCAATCGCTATGACGATCCTCTTGTACCTCCAGCCAATCCAATAGGTGATGGGCACAATGATGACCAATACATTGATGCCGAGAATGCTGATGACGACGACGACGACGATGATGGTTTTCTCCAGACTTTCTAGTTAAAATTCTCAAAATCGGGGGTAAGCTTGCTTCGTAATCTTGGTTTTACATAATTTCACTCATATTCATATGTAAGAATATTTATGTTCGTCCTGAAACGTATTTTTGTTAACCCTCTTGTTATTTTACACCAAGTTCCACATCCATGCATAAACGCTTCTTTTATATTCTGGACTGATTTATGTATCGACATTTCCTCAGGTCTCGACAAAAGTGACTACTTTTGGTGTCCTGCCATCGTACCAAAGCTGCGTCTTCTTGTGTATGATTTTTCTGCATCTTCTATGGTTGTCCCGTCTCTTAGTTCATGTTTTGAATGTATTGTAAGATTGGATATCAAATAGCATTATGTCAGACTCTGCAACTTTCCTTCAGTTATTTGTTTTAATTATATGTCATTGTGGCTGGTTTGTCAGAATCTACGGTTTGTTCGTTTTTCTGTTTCAATTATATGTCATTGTCTCCTTTGTTTGATATGGACAAGAATTTATGGCCGAAATGATGTAAAAATAGCGACGAATATTTTAAGCCGAATTTTGCGATCATTACAGTTCGTCGCTAATTTGCGACGAATACATTTTGCAACGAATTTTGCGACGAAATTTGCGATGAAATTGCGACGAAATTTGCGACGAATTTTGCGACGGATTGTATTCGTGGCTAATTTTGCGACGAAATTTGCGACGAATCTGCGATGAAATTTTGCGACGAATTTGCGACGAAATTTGCGACGAAATTGCGACGAAATTTGCGACGAATTTTGAGATGAAATTTGCGACGAATTTGCGACGGATTTTGCGACGGATAGCGTTCGTCGCAAATTTGCGACGAAATATTTGCGACGAATTTTGCGACGGATTGTATTCGTGGCTAATTTGCGACGAATTTATTTTCGTCGCAATTTTGCGACGAACTTTTAAATTATCGGTCGCAAAATTTTGCGACGACCTAGTAGCGATGGAATTTTTTCCGTCGCAAATTCGATTTGCGACGGATTTTTGCAAATTTTCCGTCGCAAATTTCGTCGCTAATCCGGTGTTTTTTTGTAGTGATTTATGGCAAAAAAATATAGACAAACCCTAAATATTAGAGGGTGTAAATATCTAACAAATTAAATTATTTCTTTTGGAAGTTTTGTGACAAAAATGTAAAAGAAGATAAACTTTTACTTGTGAAAAAAGAGTGAATACTGAATACTTCGATGCTCGAATGTTTAGCGCTCTGTTGTTCTCCAAAACAGGAAAGAGAGAATGGAGATTGACCTCTCTCATTATGTGGATGCCAAAGAGATAAATAAGATGGACGACACTAACAAAAATGCCTCTTGATTTTCTCAAACATTATGACCAAAAAAATAAATAGACAAACCCCAAATATTAGAGGGTGTAAATACATACAAAATTAAATTATTTCTTTTGGAAGTTTTGTGATGAAATTGTAAAAGAAGATAAACTTTTACTTGTGGAAAAGAGTGAATACTTAATATTTCGATGGTCGAGTCTCTAGCGCTCTCTTGTTTCCAAAACATAAAAGAGAGAATGGAGATTGACCTCTCTCATTACGTGGACGCCAAAGAGATAAATCAGATGGACGACCCTAACAAAAATGTCCCTTGATTTCCTCAAACATTTATGACCAAAACAAAAAAAATAGACAAACCCTAAATATTAGGGGGTGTGAATACCTACCAAATTAAATTATTTTTTTGGAAGTTTTGTGATGAAATTGTAAAAGGAGATAAACTTTTACTTGTGGAAAAAGAGTTAATACTGAATATTTCGATACTCGAGTCTCTAGCGCTCTCTTGTTCTCGAAAACAGAAAAGAAAAAAATGGAGATTGGCCTCTCTCGTTACGTGGACGCCAAAGAGATAAATCAGATAGATGACTCTAACAAACCGAGAAAATATTTCCTCAAAAACGAATGGAATCCCTCGTCAAAGGGCTACTTTTTGGGTCCCACACCCCCACGTCGCAAGCCACATGTCGAGCAAACAGAGGGATCTTAGCGACTATAAAATCGTCGCGTCATCGACACCACAGTCCATCAAAACCTTGTTCAATTCTGAGTGAGTGAGAGACCGTGAACAAAGAGTTAAACTTTGCATCTTGGTGTTGGGATTCAAGAGGAAGCAACAGAGAGGAAATGGACAACTCTAAGATGGGCTTCAATGCAGGGCAGGCCAAGGGCCAGACTCAGGTCCAGCTCTTCCTCAATCAATTAGCCCTGCAACATTACGTGTCCTACGTTCATTTCTGTTGTCAGACATCTGAAATTTCTGCTCTTCTTGATGTGATGATACAGGAGAAGACCAACCAGATGATGGACAAGGCGAGCAACACTGCTCAATCCGCAAGGGATTCCATGCAAGAGGTTCTGTGTATCTAAGAACTTGTTGCTCCTTTCTCCTTTTCTTTTTCGCCTTCTTTTATGAATGATTGTATTTGCATTCGACAGTTCATAGTTTGATGAGTCAAGTAATCGAGTGCCGCGTAATCTAGTGATCTTGGGTCTTGATCTTGCTGTGTCTCTGTGCAGGCTGGCCAGCAGATGAAGGCCAAAGCACAGGGTGCTGCTGATGCAGTGAAAAATGCCACCGGGATGAACAAATGAAGAGCTCCGATATGGCTGAATAAATAATTAAGCTCTGATTATCTTTTGCTTTTTCTTATTTTTGAGGTCGTTTTATTGTCGTTTCTTCTTGTCAAGGTCTTATTATGAGGGTCCCTTTTCTCTTTCAGTAGTTCTTTTCGTTTCTTGGTTGAATGAAGGGGGCAACTCTCTGTGTTTGGGAGTTCTCATCTCGCTTCATAAAGTCTCAGGATGTAGTTGCCTTTTGAGAATGTTGTGTTCTCTCTCATAATGCTATTCTGATTTTGCTCTCTCTCTCTCTCTCTCTCTCTCTCTCTCTCTCTCTCTCTCTCTCTCTCTCTCTCTCTCTCTCTCTCTATACACATGAACATGTGTATGTGTGGGCGCAAATTGTGGACCATTGTTTCTTCGATTGCTGTTATCTCTTGCGCGATGCAGTGTCTGAGACTGATACATGGATTTTGACATAATGCACCGTTTTCATTATACAAGCCATTCTTAAAATTTATTCCTAAAACTATTATTATTCTAGGGGTAGTCGTCATTGCTGAACTTAATGCGGACATCGCATCCGCAGATGATAAGGTTCCAAAGATCAATAGCTTTTATGAACGAAACTTTACCAAGGAATGCACAACAGATGGACACTGGAGAGAGTTTTTTCTTTCTGTAAAGCCCCAAGTGAGAATGACATAGTTTTAAAGAAGCAATTTCATGCTTATTTATTTCTTTGTGTATTATAAATAAACCAGAAGGTATTAAGTAAATAGCCTCCAAAATTTCCCCAGAAGTATTTGAACTTAAGTGATGCAACTTCTATTCTTCTTTAGTTTGGAAGATTTTTAAGCCAAATTACTTGGAAGAGTTTGGAAATACTTTCAACTTAAAGCAAAACTAAGAAGTTGCCGGCAAGTCTAAAGGCTAGTTTCAAGTCTTTCTCTTATACATAAAGAAATTAAATTGCAGACATTACATAAACTTGATAATGATGACATTATTATTTCGAAATGTCCAAAAATGAACTTGATTTTATTTGGTGTCTTATTTTATTTTTTGATCTCTCAATTCTTTTGGTTGAAATATAGTAATTTCGTTTTTCTCCTTTCCTTCTCTTCCAAGTTCCAATAACCAATGCATAGGAGAACATTGTGTCTGAACAAAAATGGTGTCTACCATCCAATCGGCCTTTGTAATCAGGCCGAGTCATTCACGAGAACTCAATCATTGCATAGGACTTGTGAGCAAAATTCGTATATTGAAAGCTTATGAGCGTGTTGAATGAAAGCTCCTTCTAGCGCGGGTTCTGCAGACTTTTGAGCAATGCATTTACCACTGTCTCCTATACTTTGCTCCTTCATGGTAAGGCAAGGGGGAGCTTCAAGCCATTTGCACGGGATCACACAAGATGACCCGCCTTCCCCACCTATTCGTCGTCTGGTTGGAGTGTCTGATCTCCTGAATACTCCAACGCCAGAGATACTTCACCTCATTGAGGGCATTAAGGTAGAAAGAAGAAACCCCCACAGTGCATCGCCTGTAATTTGCCGACAACCTGTTGGTTTTCTCATGAGCTACGATCAACGAGATCAGGGTCCTTAAAGCCTATCCTTCGAAGTACACAATGGATGTTACTTGAAGCAAGAAATTCCCAACTAGCACCTAGATGAAAAAAATACCAACTTTCTCACGTACTATATGGTATAAAAAACCCATCCAAAAAGTTGGTATCATTTTGCATATCAGGTGACCCCATTGTGTGTGACCGTGTATTTTGAAAATATGCAATGCATGACGTGTAACATGGAAAGAAATATTGAATGAGACATGATTGAATGATTTAATAATTGCAATCGAATTTTGCGAATGCAATTTTTGAATATGTGTGAAGTCACGTTTTGAAATTGAATTATTGAATGATGCTTTTAATGCAATTTTAGCACAAGCAGTATCGCAACAACCTAATTCAAATCCTCGATTATCAAAAAAAAAAACAACCTAATTCAAATCTAAGATAAAAAACAATAATTATGACGGTCTAGATACGTGTTGAATTTCTAAGAGTAATTTGGCAACATAATGATATATCTTGGTATTAGAGATTTCGTTTCGGCATTACAATGGCCTAAGAACTTGCGGTTTACGGCTATTCGAATAGGTAGCATAGCAACGTTTTTCGATTCTACGATTCTAAACGAGCATTACAACATCCTAGCATGCATTTCTGTTTGGAAAATGAAATCAAGGGTGGCGAGCTCTATCTCGAAAGCGCGAGATCTCTAAAGCGTCAAAATCGTGACTAAATTTAGAGAATTTCTAGAGAGCACCGCAGGGATTGGGAATCCAATCTTTTTCCTCTCAAATGAGCACAAATAAGGGATGTTTATAAGTGAAATGGGCCGCCTCAAGATGAGGACACGCTTCGAGTCGAGATTCCATCTTCTTGGGCCTGTATCTTCTCCATCCAATGTTTGATTTTCGGTGATTTTTGTGCTGTCTAAACGCTTGTGTCGAGAGTTTTCTGATGAACCTAATATTGTTAGGTGAAATTGCAAAATCGCATATTCGAGATTTTGACCCATATGGGGGTCTATGAATCAGGTGTTGTTTCGGTTATTTATCATTATGAATAAAACCCATTTATCATAACTTAGGGGCCTGGAAAGTTAATTGAATTTTGAGACCTCAAGGTACAATTTCGGGCTTTGGGACCTTTAAGGAATGGTTGAAATTTGACCGACCATTACTCCTTTGTCTAACATTTGTTCGACCTAATTTTTGTCGGGTGGGTATGGTTGTGATCCCTAGTTTTGAAATGAGTGATTCAAAAGCAAATATTCGCTAACTTCTCGACACCGTAAGATACAGACAACCGATATTGAGGAATACCAAATTGCCTTTTTGATTGGGCGGCAATATGGGTGTCAAAAGGCTCGTTTTGATGAGCAAAACCCATTTTTGAGGTTTTAAAATATGTTATAAGACTTGTAGCTCGTTAATAAAATTTTGGTCAACTCTTAGTTAACGATGATTTTTTTAAATGGGGATACAATTTAAAGTGACAATAGCTGTCTCTCTTTGTGGTTTGTTCAATTTCGATACCTCTAGGTATGACTTTGAGCTTTCAGACCTTCGTTTTAGGTATCGAAAGGTTTGAACGAAGTTTGATCAGCGATTGCTTCCTTGTTCGACATCTGTTCGACCCGAATTTTGTTGTGTTGGATGATTGTGACTAGTTTCAAGATGTGCAATTGAAATCGGGAAATCACAAACTTCTTGATGCTACAAAAAACGGGCAACCGATCTCGAGGGGTAAACAATTGATTGTCCGATTTGGGTGTATGGGAGTAAAAAAAACTCATTTTGGCAAGTAAATTCCATTTATTAGTGGGTATATACACAAATTTATCTAGTGAAATGTGCAAAAGTAGTCCCTTAACTAAAACAATAATTATTACAATTGTGGGAGAAATAAGTTGTTGAAATTTGACGTCCAATGCAATACTTGTTGAAATTTGACGTCCCAATATTAAATTGACTCGAGGAGTAGCCAAGTTTGAATTTCGGTGATCTTGAATATTTGTCAAGGAAGAAAGAGTTCGAGAATAAAATTGTAACAAAATGAAGAAAAAAAAACTAGTAAAACGTAAGACTAGAAACAATACCTGATGAGATCGGACTGTCCAACTTCTGGTAGTATGTGTTGAGGAAACTTCCTAATAGATTTTGAAGTTGACAAAACTATCCATGTTAATCTTGTAAGTCTGACACGTAGTCTGAAGTATTTTGATCTAGGTAGATATATTTTGGAAATGGCTATTTCGAGAGAACTAAACTTTCTGGACGCTCAGACTTTACGAGGACCAAAAGGAAAATTTCAGACTTTACGAATTTCAGAACGAGAAGTTCGGACTTTACTGAAAAAGTCACTCAGACAATATATTAAGTAGATGAAGAACTTTAGGCTCTATTTCTGAAAGGTTTAGACCTTGCCGAAGACCCACATTGACTTAAGTTCTGAATGTGAAGCAAGAATCAGAAATTATTCAGAACGAACATAACGGCTAGTGATCTGGCGTAGATTTCATAAAAGGAAAGTTTTGATTGACTCAATCTTAAAAGGATATAATTGATTGACAATCAAACATTAAGGCAAGTGTGTGTGTGTGTGTGTGTGTGTGTAGACAAATGTCCTCAGATCAAGGACCAATAAATAGAGAAGAGATTAATATAGAAGATTTCAATCAATCAATTGAAAATTGGTTCATTCCAAAAGTCAAACTTGATAAAATTTATGAACATTCAAAGTTTAAATTCTTTGGGCACAATGACTATGTCATTGTTACCGAAGAAAGAGATGTACCACTTTCTAACTCTTTTGCTTCAATACAACTTTTGAATAAAGATTCTATAAAGAAACATTCCCAGAAATGGAATTACATGCATATAGGTATGGTACAGGTTGGTGCAAAACCCCTTACCAAAGAGGGATTAGATACTTCCTTACTTCTTGTTTTGAGAGATGCGAGACTTTTAAAATACGATGAATCCATTCTTGGAGCCGTAGAAACAAGTCTTTGCAGTGGACCAATTCATTTTGATAGTCATCCTGGTCTTACCATTTCTCTCAAAGACAAAAATATTTTAAAATCTCTCATCCTCCAAATAAAGACCCATAATTATTCTATAGCTGAAGGTTCTATTCCCATAGCTCTCATCTACAGAGTTTATTACAAAGTAATGAATTCTTCTTTCGGTAGCAAAGCTTTTAAATTGAATTCCAATAGAGAAACCCTTATTTTACAAACAGATATTTCTAAAACAAATGTTACCATTCCTAGGACCATTCTTTGGAATCAAATAACCCTTCCTGATCAATGGGAATTAGAAAACCGAATTCCCCAACAAATCGTTCAAAATTCTGATCCTACCAACATTATTCAACATCCTGAAGGAAGAGTAACTATTCAATTTTCCAGAAGATCAGTTGATATTCCTAGGAGGTCTTGTGACATTAGATCAATTCCTTCTTGGCATTCCACTTCTTCTCGAAGATCTGTAGATACTATTCCTAATATCCCTTTGAATAATCCTGAGGAAGCATCTGCAAGTGCACCTCCTCTTCCAAACATCAGTGGTATAGATAGCAGGTCAAGAATTTCCAGACCAGTCTACCAACATACTACTGACTTCCCTGATCCAACTCCTTCTAAAATGGAAGACCCTGAAATCAATGTTTTAGAATCAGTTTTTGAACCTGATTAAATATTTTTAAATAAGGAATTCAATTCTTCT